ACTATCCTCACCTTTCGCCCAATCACCTTCGACTTCTCGCCTTTTTGATCCCTAGAGGTGATAAAACGCCCCGATTTCAGAACATTAATTGTGAAAAGGCACAATCTCGTTGTTAAGATTTGCATGGTGCGCTATTGTTCAGTTTAATATGTTTTTCGAATTGAACAATGTTGCCATGCGTTCTAGTCCTAGCGACTTCTCAACCTAGCAATACGTCTTTATCAGTAGAGCCGTCACTTTGTTGTTGACTGAAAAGTAGTTTCCAAAAGCTCTTTACAATTAGTAGGCCCAAGGTGATACCTATCTTACAAGACTGTAAATCGCAAAAACAACCAGTTAGTATTAAACAATCAGCTCATTTATGGTTTGCAATTTTTTTATACTGATCGCTCATAGATGACAGGGTTGGGCTAGATATACGATTCCCTCTAGGAAAGTCTATCTTGTCTTGAGACACATCAAGAAAAGCCAGCTCAACAAAAGCGATCAACATCACTATCGTCAACTTTATCGTTCAGAGCTCTGCCGTCGTTTGCAGCAGGCATTATAACTTCGTATTTAAAATACTTTACACAACTACTATGCAACAATGCCCAAAGGGCTCACCTTACTAAAGACAGGTGCCCAGATGTTGTGTTTCTCTCTAACTTGCTAAACTAGAATTAAGGCCTTTTTCGTAGGACTGGACTAGAAGCAAAACAGATTTCTTCAATGAAAATACTTAAGACGAAATTCGTGGATATTTTGCTTTTATGACCTAAAGTTTGTCGAAACTAGATGGTTTTTTGCTCTTTAGCCACTGTGCAGCAAAACATGGAGATCACAAGAAGATGAGAAGTGTGAAAGAATTTCTTGCAATTTTTCCCTAGCAAGTCTGTTAGTGGTTAATCAGTGATCCTGGCAAAGGGTTATGGATAGCGAAACCGTCATGGCTGTTTAATTTGGCTCCACCACAGTCAATAGAGTTTTTCTTTTGACTATGATTTCACAACAAAATGATAGGTAGATATGGCAGCTTCCCTGCGTAAAAAGGCTCAAACAAGTGGCAGACGGAGACGTCATGATAGGAGAGAAGTTTGGGAAGGGGGTAACGGCAGTTCTTCCGATTGAATAGAAAGAGAATAGGGAAGAGGGAGAAAAGGTGTCTCGTTATTGTTTCCTTATAACACAATTTGCTAAGAAATAGAATTTATTGCTGTTAAAAAGAAGTCAATCGACTCCGATATGAAATTAATCCGGCATCCTGTAAATGGAGGTCCTCAGTATCAACTGGTTTAGTTTTGGAAATAACATCCAATAATTTTGATTTTACTTTCTAATTTTATATTCAGCGCGAGCTTCTCGTTCTGTTGAAGGTGCTAAACATTTTCTTGCTCTCTTAGACTCTGTTTACACTGTGCCGGATAAATTTTATCCGCATCAAAATTAGTTCAGATAGGCGTCGCGTTTACACTGTGCCGCACAAATTTTGTCCACTTTGCCCTCCTGTTTACACTGTGCCAGATAACTGCAGTCACGTAACCTAAATCATGCACATAACGCCCAAAACGAAGTCATCTCTGGGAAACAAAGTAACAACACTAGCTTACAACACAAAGTTACAATACTAGCTTGTTTCTCCTCTACTCTGTATTTGTTATGTTTCGTTTCTATTATTTAACTTCCTTTTGCATTGTTTATACTTTTAAGCTTGGATTATTTCTAATTTGTAACAAGTGCATGTATCCAGTGGAATTTAAAATAAAACTGAACTGAACTGAACAACAAAATTCCCACCTATTTACAAAGACTTTTCATTCTCTCTTCAGAATCATCTGCTTCTCTTTCAGACGAAGTCCTAAGATATTGTCAAAACAAATAAGGCAAAGTTGGTTTTAATAATTCGTTCTTTGAAACAAAATGACGCTGAAATAGCGTAGAAAGGAGGGAAAACTAACAAGGATGCCAACTTTACGTGGAATGACGAAGATACTCCACTTTTAACACGAGTATTTATTGACTGCAAGGCAGCCAAGATGGCGAAAAGTCTTGATTGGGAGATAGTGAGAACTAAATAGGATGAAATAGCCAATCGCTTTCGAGCAATAAACGATATGAATAAAATTTATCCGGATAAAACCGTTTACTCTGTACCACATAGCTATCCCAACTAATTTAATCTACTTTCCTAGGTGAACTAATTTTGTTCGGATAGCCGCTCTCAAATTCGTGTGAATAGCGCGGGTCTAGTGTAAAACACGACGCCCATCGGAACTAATTTCGATGCGGATAAAAATTATCCGGCACAGTGTAAACAGGGTATTAAGCAGAGAGATGATGCTCCATCTTTGTGAACTAGACTCCCTTAGAGTGCTTCAAACAATACGAGAATGATTTTTCACAACAAAAATAACAATAGATCTAGAAAGGAACCCTGAGGAAAGCCACGAGTATACTCGCTTATCGAAGAAAATGTAACTTGGGTAAGATATAAACTTATGCCATGCCAGCCGAATTGGGTGCATTCACTAACTATATCAGATATTTATTGCTATTAGCGACCTTGTCAGGCCTTTCCATTCGCATGTAAATGAAAAAGGGGTTTCCATAACTGTTTTTGAAAAATGGAGATGCATGAAAATTCTGAACACGAGTACCGCTTTTTCTGGAAAAAGAGAGGTGGAACACCATGAAGATGACGAACGAACATGTTCTTACAACAGATACAACGAACATTATCATAGGGCATCAAATTGCTAGTGGAAAACTTCCACGTCCTTCTATGTCTATTTAACATATGGCTGAAAACGTACGTTCTTAATTGACTGGTTTTACAGTAAGCAGAAGTTGTGAGGATTTTGTGAGATGGAGGTGTGATGTAACAAAGTTGATTTAAGTTAAAAACTGGTATCTATATTTGCAATTTCTTTGTAGGTGGAATGGAAAAGGATTCATATCTGGTTGATTAGGCCAATTCTACTTGTTTTTTTTGTAAAGGAAAAAGCAGGACGGACTACAGCTACTGCGCGCGGGTTGTGGCCCAAATCCTAAAGATGTTCATCTGTTTTCCAGCCAGTAAGCTCAGTGAGACTAAACTTTCAGATCATTATTAAAATAAATATAAAATAGCAAGGCGCAGTATGGGCGCGGTAGCTTCTTTTTCAGTCATCCTCCTCGCAAATGACATCAATGCCACAGGGGCACAGGAACATTTTTCATTTACACACCCTCAGTTTACCATTTTAGAAAAAATATCTGGCTTTGAGGATGTTTAATCAAAGATCCAAAAAGCCAACAATCCTACAAAACTGGTTGTGAGAAAGGTTTTTTGACTAATTTTTGTGAGCATTATAGTTTGATACTATTGGTGTTATTCCCTTAAATGTGAAATATCACCAATAAATACCGAAAACCATGAAAAAATTGTATCAACTGCGCGGAGATGGTGAGGTTATCTTTAAAAAATTAATGAAAGTATAAATGACCTTATCGGTCAAAAATAGTGAAAGAAAGAACTTTGATATAATATTAAGTGTTAGGAATTTTTGTTCATGAAAAAACTTTTATTAGAAGTTCAGCAAAAACCACACATTACGTTTCTGCATATAGATCAGAAGACTTGAGAAGATTTCCAGCGATAACTGGTGATTCAAAGAGGTAGCAGAGACATCAAAACATGGACGGAAGGGGATTAGAAGAAAATATGGGCGGAAGGGGATTAGAAGAAAATATGGGCGGAAGGGGATAAGTGAAATAATGATTTACAGTAGGTGTGATTACATTCTAGCTAATTGCACAAGTTTGCATTGTATGGTTGATAAATTATATGTAACATGAGCTTTCCCTAAGACCGTCATAGAAACACAACGTGACGAAGTTTTTCCTAAGACCGTTTTACAGGCACAACATACATAAATCAAAGCAATCAGATTGCAAAAGCATGGCTTACCGTAAGTGAAATGGAAAGCATAGCGTAAGCTCGTAGAAGTCTTTATTGAGGAAAGAAACACTGAGGAGTGTGAAATAGGCATAAGGTTTAAGGGAGGTATGTTTCCAGAATTGAGGTAATTTATTCTAAAAAGCAAAACGAGATAACTGGTTATCAATGGCTAGCAATAAATAACTGGCTATCTGTATCTAAAGGCTGATTAAATATGTTTTATTTGGTTGCAGAAAATGAAACCGTGCAGCCTTGTAAAGTTTTGCTCAATGCAATAATAACTTCACTACCAGTGGATAAGTCTAAAATAAGTAGCGCTCTGGATTCAAAGATTTTTTCATAAAGCAGAGAAAAGGCTCAATCATTGAAGATCAAAAGATTCCACGTATAATCACTTGTCAATCGATGAACAACCTGGAAAGCTGAAAAGAACAATTCCCAGTTCATCCAAATGTCGTGCAGTTTGAAAACTGCAAATTGCCATTTAGCTTGGGTTTCATGGAGGAGGAATAATTCAGCAGCTATTATTCCCCGCCAAACGTGTTGGGACAGCCTCATCATCCTTTCTACTCAATGTCTCTCTCCGCTCTCTCCGCTCTCTCCGCTCTCTCCGCTCTCTCCGCTCTCTCCGCTCTCTCCGCTCTCTCCGCTCTCTCCTCTCTCTCCGCTCTCTCCCCCCTCCGTTTACAATGTTGGATTCCGATCAGAAAATGATGACAAATGATACTGGGAGCTGAAACAGTTTAGTGACATTTTTAAGTGAATGTCAAATGTTCATCTTTCAATATTATAGAAGAATAGTGAATTTTAATCTTCCTTCCCATCATAAGGGGGAGGTGCATCGGTCCACTTGAAATAGGAATATAAAGGGCAAAACATGCGCTTCTCACAAGCTGAGCTTTTAGCGATCGCACTGCATTGATGCCATGTGCAAATACCCGCGTTATCCTAAAATGGAAAAGGCTTGGCTAGCAAATCCAGCTTTCCCACTTCATTCTAATATAATTCGTTTCTAAACTGTGGAATTTGCAGTTTCATCTAAGCTCAATGAATGTAAGTGAGGGACTAAAAACAAAGAAACTTCTGTGAAATTCTATTTTTTCTTGCGTTTCAAGTAAAACAATTGATTCTAATTCACACTTAAAATCTTAATATTTAACGCTCTTTCACACGATGAAATAGTCATAAAAATTATCGAAACAAATCAATGTTACAACTTGATTTAAATCTTATCGTATACACTTTGAAATTCAATTAAGGTGAAAAACAAAAACTGAATGGTTTGACAACAATGCGTTATATATTACTGGTATCTTAAAATCCAGTTCGAATTAAAATTATGAACTGTAGGCAAAAGAATTTCAAATGCGTTTTCAGGCCGGGCAATAGTTACACTGAGTGTTATGAATCTACTTTGGCTGGGTGTCGAACCGCTTTCGATTATTCCCTTCATATTTTGATAAATTCTACACAACGATGATAAGGAGTTGCAATTACTTATGTACAAGGGATAAAACGGGTCGTTTTAGCATTTTTTTAGGAGGCAAAACTGTACAGATAGAATTAAAAAAGAGAAAACGGTAAAAGATTTAGTGCTTATAATTGCCAAAAATGAAAGTTATTTTACTAGTCAGTTGATCTCAACTCGGGTTTAGAAAATCTGCTAATAGTGCCGTAGAAATTGGAACTTTTAAGATACTTTGCCGGTATCATATAAAACAGAACAGGAATAATTTGATAAAAACAAATGCATAAACAATAAATGCATAATAAAGGTTTTAAGTTGGAATGCAGCAAACAAGATAAATTAAGAACGGGTAAAATTCTTGGATAAAATTTCAGAGAACAGAAGTTCTTGGCAATCTCTTTAGTCGTTCACTCATTGATCATGTCCTCACACATTCTCCAAGGCAGCTTCATACCTCATTTCAACTGGCAGACTAGTAGTCTTCGCTCATCGATGGAGCTCTTACTGGGCCGCTTTTTGAGGCTGTTCGCGTACGCAGTGTAGGAACTAGAGGGTTAAAAGATAAATTTTACACTCAACCAAACATGGGATCGCATACATTTTGTTATAAAACTTGTTAACATATATTACTTGCTACTCATTTTTGCATGCAACGTGTCTCTCATTCTAAATTTCTGTGATTGTCAGCCTGTTTTCTAAACGAATAGCTAAAAATTAGAGCGAATACTACCAGGACGGTTCAGAAGGGTCCTGCAATTTCAGCCGCATACAAACAGCCTGGAGGGTACTTCCTAATTCTTCAATTGGGATCAGGTGCAGCCCCCTTCCCTTTGACTGGTTACAAAGACTGATCTACGTTTGTAAAGGAAAAGTAGCTTTGGAGTGGAATGAAAAATATGAGACGGTGGCAGCGTGTTATCTTGTAAACATCATCCCTCGAAGTAACGTGAGAGGAAAAATCGCGCGTTTCATAAAACACTATATATAAACACTATATCAGCTACAAATAGAGTTAAATCACTCTTACAAGTCGAGTGCAATGAAAGATAGTGATAACATACCAAGATGGCATCCCTGCATCAGCAAGAGCATTCCTTCACCGCATTTGCTTGGCTAGAGATGGATAAAAAGACCATTAGTATTTAAGTAAGCTTTCAGACGGTAGTGATTTCAGGAAAAAACGTTTCGATAAATCAAGACGCAAAACTAGAAGCCAATAAAAGAGCACGTCAAGCGCACATACGAGATGTCATTCGAGGTGTAAATGTTGCTAATTTGGCGCTGGCAAAATGAAAAAAGGGGCAAACTTGACAAAAGATAAAATGTGGGGAAAAACTTGACAAAAGATAGGGAGTGGATAAAGATGAGGAGACAGTGAATAAATCAAAAAGTGAGAAAAAAACTTACATCTTCAAAGAACACATTCACTGAATCCAAGGCTTCCATGATGTTTGCCTTCTGTTTTGGGAGCACAGAAAACAGGCGATTCTACCAAGAAACACGAGGCAAGCTTATAACAAAGTGAATGGCATAAAAATTTGAATTGCTGTCATTTTTTTCTAAAATTTTTGTTCTGCCATTGCTAGTGGTTTTTAGGTTTATTATTATTATCCTGATTCGGATCATTATACTGACAACTGAGGATTCTCAAAAGAGTAGCTATGTAATAATGACGTCATAAAAATCCATTTGTAGAACTTTGCAATCATGACCACATGAGCAAAAAGAACACGGGCAGATACCTCTAAATAGACAAAGGCAGTTATATCTGCCAAAGAATACCTGAGATATGACAAACGAAAAGTTTGAAGTGCTTCTATGTTTAAGAATAAGGGCCATATTACAGTGGTTTTAAAGCCAGCACTGTGGGCAAGAATCTCACCGAATATTCAATTCATAATTAGCAACATAACCAAAAGCCTTGAAGTTTTACTATCTTATTCAACCGCAAGCTGCTCTATTTTGAACCTTGTGAAAAGTTGCATCTCTTTTAGGGACATATTCTATAAAAACAGGTCTTTCGACTGATATGAGATTGAGAGCTGCAAAGACATTCCTCAAAGTCCAGCGAGATTGTGAGGTCATTGAAAAAATGAGCCATTCCACCAAAGCAATTTTCATCCATGTCCCGTACACAGTTCTCTTCAGGAAAGTTTTGAAACTTTTGCTGATGGATGGTAGAAGTAGAGATAGAAGTCTGAAGTGAATTTTTTTGTTTCTGTTATTATAATTCAAACCTACTCTATCATGACCCACCAGCTGTTTAAATAATAATCACAAGAAATTGGAACTACCATTTTTTTTAATACTTTCTGTCTCAACCTTCAAGTCGGTACTAGACAGTCTTATAGACGTCTGGCCAAAAGTATTTGAGATTTAAAGTATTTAAGATCTCTGCATAGTGGAGTAGACAGTAAAACCTGGCCAGGTCAGATGAACCTTATCTAAAATATTTACATGTACAAGATATTCATAGGGCGCTTAAATCTTTTGTTTGAATAGTTAAACGTTTTTTAAAATGTTTTATGACGTCGAGCGAAACAGAATCTGATTCTTTAGCTGCCTAAAGGGATCAATGTTCTTACCGCTTCTTCTTTGTATGGTGAATGCTCACTCGTCAAAATTAAGACACTGCAGCTGCAATAAAATTAAACAAGATTTTATAGTCCTAGCAATTACTGAAAAAAAAATTTGAATCTTACAATGGAAAGCATAACAAGGGATGAAGAATGTGATGCAAATACTAATAGGAAGTCGCCAGTTAGTAGAAGAGTACAGCAAGACTTCTAAATGTGCCAACAACCTAATATCTCTCAAGAGTAGTCATTCTCAACTCTTTCACAACAACTTGCGGTTTTTAACGTGAAAGTCATCTGTGAATAAATGATTTTGACAAAGTTTCGATACACTTGCAATCTCCTCGAGAGTAGAAAATACACAGAGCTTTCAATGGCGCTGTAAGCTACAATCCTGGGCAAAATTGTTGGGACAAAATGCAACTTTTGCAATTTTCTACTTTAATTGCGCCTGTAACTTCGAAGGCCCTCTTCCCCCGAATTAATGTTGGATTAGTAGTTCTATCTTTTGTGCTTCAACAACATGCATTAAACTTGAATTGGTGGAGAGGGGAGGGGGTTAATTTTCAAAGGAAAGAGAAGAGATCAACTTTTCTTGAAATGTATCAAATACTTTTGTCCGGGATTGTAGTATTCTCAAAAAGAATCTGGATGCAAGTAATTCCAACGCACCTTATCTTCTTAGACACATCTGTATACATTTCCTGGCGGCTGAAACGCAAATGTAGGTTGAATACAAACTTCACACATAAAACATAGAAACGATTAGCATAGCAATAAATCAAAAAACGGTATTTGTACAACCAGCCCGGGGTTTGATGAAAGAATTACCTGATCGAAATATTAATTCGAGCAATAGAAAAACCTAACAATAATCGAGGATTTTCAGCTATGAAATGCAAAGTTTTTAAATAAGTTGCTGTAAAATGTAAGGTTTTGAATCGCAATCTGGTTTTAACATCGTTACTTTTTTCCTTCAACTTTCTGATTTTCCAATCTTTTTCTTTCTAATAAACATCTGAAATTGCAACCTTTTCGCGAGACCTCTACACATACAATTTCATATTACGACAATCAATGTAAATGAACAATTTACAATTACTTACCTCATGTATGCTCTCACAAACTGAGCCATATTGTGCGGATTTTGACTATTTGCCACCTCCTTAATGTATTGATCCACCTTTTCCATATTCACCTTTTTGGCTTTCTGGAGTGGGGAAATTTTTGACTCAAAACTCAGTGGAAAAAATCAGATAAGCGTAAAATAAATAAAAATTTGCTGACATGAAGATTACAGATGCGAGACCAATACAAATGTTATTAGCTGTTTCAAACCAAGTGAATAAATTCCAGTGATGCATAAACTGCTCTGACAACAAAGTGAAAAATGCACAGAGACTTACATCATACTCTTTTTTAGTTCAATATTTTAAATGAGTAGTCCTTATTCTACAAGTGATACAACCTTTCAATGTACGTGCGAAAACGTTTGTTTAGAATTTCATATATAATATATAAAAATATATAACTTATTTTTGAAACTTACATTGCCAAAATGATGCCAAATCAAGAACTTCTCTGAAGCACTTGTAAATCCCTTCGTCTCCAAATGCCAAGAGGCAAGCTAAACACAGAATCAAATCATTCTCATTTTGTCTGATTTTTCTACAAGTCGAGTACCAAAGCGATAGAATAGTTCTCTTCTTTCACCGAGCCAAGCAAGACCCTACAATGCCAGCCAAAAGTCTTGGGACACTAACCCCAGTTTCCAAGGTCAAATTTAATCATCCCCTCTCCCCTACGGAACAATGCTGGTTTACAATGAAACGGGCCAGGATTTTCTCTAAATTATCAACATTGTTTTAGAGGGAAAGGGGCTGAAATAGTAATTTTTTCCCCGAAAAGGAATGAAAGATATAAAATGCAATGCAAATTGCTGGGTGTTCCAAGTACTTTTGGCAGGCATTCACATAGAACATGTCATTAAACAGCTGAACAGGATTGTTGAATTAAGATATCTTACGTTCATTAAAGTATAGTACGTAGAGATTGACGTGAATATCGTTTGTTGTGAGACTGGCCCTCTGGAATAACCTGCCCCACTGCCTTCTAGGAAATCTCCAGACTTTTCGAGAATTCAGAACCAATCTTTAGTGAAAACTTTATTCTCAGCAGTAGAATACTCAACTCTGAGAAAACTTAGAACCTGGCAAGGCACATCATTGTCAAATGTCACTTTGCTGGCAACAAACTACAGCACTTCACTAATTAACAATTTCTTATAGAAGTATTTAGGTTGTTAGTAATATACTGAATAGCGTACATCTTGAGAAACGCAACACAAGAAAGTAATACGAACCTTTTCTTCTCCCCATTCTCTAAATCCCGCGCTTTTTCCCGCAGGGTCAACTAATATAAGTCCAGTGATCCACTCTGGCTTCTCCATCTTAATAAAAACAATGTCCGAAGTTCATAGGTATTGTTTTATTGCTACATCATGTAGCCAACTAATGGGGACTCGTTAGGCCAATATGGTAATCCATATTTGCGAATGTGCCGAACGATTTTCACTATATAAGAAAAGATTTGTACAAAGGCAACAGGACTACTAGCCATAATTTGAGATTAATTTCTTTAAAAAACATGTTTTCTTACAGAAAATTTTAGCAAGGAACAAAAAGTTGATATGTATATGTACTCTCTTATCAGGTTGATGAATAAACATATATAATTATACTTCACAACAACAAAAGAACGGGAACACGAAGTCATTTCGGTGAACTTACAGCCAGATAAAGCAATACATTTGCTCCAGCCCCAACTCCAAAACCAATAACATCGTTTCTCAGGCTATAAGAAAAAGACACAGAGCCCTTATCAATTAACGTACCAGAGGTGCAAAAGGTTTTGAATTCACTACAATTGGATAAGGTAGGAGAGTTCCCTATCGGCTGGCGGCTAAGCTGATGTCTCCAAGCCCAAAATATGGTAGCCACAACGTCTTCCTTGCAATCAACTGGTTATACTAATTTCAATCATGAATCTATTTGAAAATGCTTTATCAATGTCATTATTCATAAAATCGGGTGTATGGAAGTGTCTCACACGTTTAGAGTGCTGAACGATTTATGCTTTAAACGGTAATATGATCAAGAAAATGCTTGAATGTCTCCTAAGTAAAAGCAATAACAAGCATTAGTTATGTATAGAAGAGAGGATTCTGCCATTGCTGATACAATAAGCAGCAATATTATAAGATATGCGGAATGTATGAAAACAGATATGCTAGGGTCGAAGACTATTAGACATTGTCACTCGCTGCACAGGCAGATGAGGTACTAGGCATTTAAGGTTTTAACGCAATCATAGTGTCGATCGATATACGTTAGCAATTACAATATGCTGCAAATAAAATCGTACACAGGGGACAGTTGCAACTAAGAAGCGTCCTGTTTTAAACCGAATCGTAACGTGCTACAAACGTGCAAACTTACTTGTAATGCTCAAGAACTGTAACAAGCATTTTTGCAATATTCGGCAAACTAGGAAACTGGTATCTGAAATTTAAAAAACTTGAATTAATATCACGTATAGTTTCAATTCATTCTTGGATTTCTATTGGCATGTGTTACGACAATGATATGTAATTGCAACTAAAAATAACAGGTTGAATAGCTAGAATGAAAGTATAAATAATCGGAAATCGGTATAAACAGGCATTGAGGCCAGAAATTAAATAGAAAAAAAGGAATACGTACTGTGGTGAAAACTTCTCAGCCCCATGTTGCTGGAAAATGGAGTGTAATATTGAGACACGTCTTAGTAAAAAATTCTACACGCTTTCGTATAAGGTGAATGTTCTACAGAAGCTTTCAACTTACTTTAATGCAGTCAAGGGCGGATCCAAATTTGAAGGAGGGGCAGTTGGAAGTGGGGGCGCTTGGTGAGAAGAGTACGCTGTAACGCCTTTGTTGCTTCCAAAGCGTGATTTTTCCAGTAAAATATGATCCATTTTCAGAACAAACAACCGATAGGTCTCAGAAACCTTTTCACTTTAAAAGGGGCGCACAATTTTCAAAAAAAGGGCGTCAGATTTGCTTAAATTGGTGAGGGAGGGGCAATTGCCCATGGTTGCCCCTCCCTTTAATCCGCCACTAAATGCAGTTATATCGGAGCAGAGGTCCGAGAAAGGGACTGGTCCACAATGGAGAGAAAGAAAAGGATTGGGGTATTTGTGACTTGTTTCTTTCCAAAACAATTAAACAGTAAGAAATGACAACTCCCTCAACTTTCTTCCATGTTCAATCCCTGCGTTAGGATACTAAAGACAGTTTTCAAGACCAAATTCAGCAATCCCTCACTACCCACTGGGAATAATGCATATTATCTTTGAAACAACGTTGGATATTAGAAAGTAAGAATTTTTGTGTAACTTGTATGATGTATGCATTAAGTATCAATATCATATTTCGAGCAAGGGGAGGAAGTAGGAATAATCTGGGAAAGAAATGCAAAATATAAAAGTACAATACTCAAATGCTGAACAGCTTACCCAGTATAAAAGAGCACTATTAAAAGGGTGTAACACATAAAGATCCAGAAAGAGGGTTTTTCTCTTATAAGAAAAGAGCCTAATATCAATTTGCTTACGGCAATGCCCATTACCCCCTCCTCCACTTTGTGAGAGCTGGCCCTAACACTGATTCATTTCTCCACTTGTGAATAAATCATAACCCTACTTTGGAATTTAGCTGCCTTTTCTAATCCACGATTTTACATCGAATTCCTAAATCAAATCCTTTTTTAAATACTTACAAAGTACTACACCGCAACAAATTATTTTACTTTTCTTTAACTTGTATAATACAATCACCCAAAATTTTACGGTTAATGATATTGGTTGTCAACTTTGCCAAAGCAATGCCCATAAGACATTTAAAGAGAATGTCAGATTTACCATAATTTACTCACTTGTCCCGGTGCATCAATATGATATATTTTGAATTTATCCCACAGTTGTAAATTATCCTCATGATGGAAAAATTCTTTGAAGCTGCTGTCTGCAATTGTGAATCAAGCCAATACAATGATCAAGAACTAAAATTTTGCTCAGAGAAAACAAACTTTAAAAAACAGGCTCAGTTTGAAAAACTCACAAAGAGAAATAAAAATGACAAGAATGGCTGATTACAACTAAAAATTAAGTTTTTTGCTTCTATATCTGTAGTGTATAAAGCCCGAGGGCACAGAAGGAGTTAGATAACCATGTAGCACCTTGAGTGATTCAGTATTGAAAGATAATATTCAGGCACATTTATCAGTGGCGGCAAAACAGATTAGCCAGGGATGGGCAAACTTAAATATGATATACTGGCCATCACCTCTAAAAACTTTTCAAGTGGGACATTTGTCATATGATTGCTGCAAAGGTTTTAGAAGTGCATCTTTAAAGAAAGGCATCTACATTTCTGTCACATTTGGTGCTAACAAAATTCCTTTTCAATCTTCTGGGACAAGGAGGGGGAGAAATCAACTGCAGACCTGCTGAAGTTAGCTGAAGTTGGGGTTTTGAAACAGGAGCTGGGCATGACAGTACAAAACCCCTTGTCTAAAGAATCTAAAATTTGGATGCTTAGCAGTTGGGATGAGCTTGTGACACAAACACACATTTAATACCATCAGCTTTAGTGGCTTTGCTAGCCTAAAACTGTCAGATCAAATTGTCTGTAGCCCATGTTCTACCCATCTTTCCTTAATAATTTTTGCTGCAACTCTTAAGTCTGCACTAGCAATCTAAGCATGGATTTGTAGTTAACACTGTTACCTGCATAGCATGTTTAATATCACTGTATTAAGATTAAATGGTTAAAAGGACTGTAGTTATTTTTTTCATGAATAAATCATCATGAGTCATTATGTTGTTATTTTTCTTTACAAAAAGTCTTAAACAAGGATAAAGAAACAAGGTACACAAAAACTAAACAAGAACCTTGAAAATTTGAAGTTTAGTGACATTTCATAATCTTTTTGTTTAAGAAAATACTGAGCAATTCAATTTCAAAGACTTTGTTTGCATAACAATATTACTGCTTGCATACCAAATATAATAGACCATACACATAAATATTCTCTTCAGGACACTGGCTAGGAAGTCATTCCAAAACAATTTCTTTTTGCATTCAAATGTAAAATACGTCATTTTTTGCCCTTTCAAAACCACAAATTGATCTTTCTTAGCTATTTCAAATTAAAATGAAAACCAAAACTGTTTTTCTAAGATAAGTCAGTAAATCAGCTTTACTGTTGGTTAGAAATTCAGTTCCTTTAAAACCATTTGCTTTCAGGTTTGAAGCCATCAGGGGGTGACTCCAGAGACAATTATATTGTTAACTACTATTGAAAATATAGAAAAGTTAGGAGGTTATTCAACTTACGATTCAAACCAATGTCATGGAATGTAATCAAGGAAGCAACTTTCTTTCTGTCAGGAGATTTCTCCTAGAGTATGAAAGTCAAAAAAATTATAATGCACAATGTGGTAAAAAACAGGTTTACAAGCCAAAGAAAATCTCATATAGTAATATGCATTAAAGAGAAACAGCTGTGATGTTGTTTTTTCACCATTGAGAATCACAAAATCAGGCTATTACTGAATTTAAGTGACAGGACGGTGAAAGGGCATTTAATCTATCTTTGAGGTCAACTTAAAAGACATTATATAACTTGAAATATACCACTATAGTCTGCAAAAGTCTTTCTGCATTTTATCAACAAACTAGCCCAAAATGTAGGGGTCAGTGAACAAGGCAATTGCGACCAGCATTTAAATATGACCCACTGACCTATGACCTGCAAAATATAGAGGCTGAATTCTTTCCCGGCAATGAAATTGTTTCCATTGTTATTTTAACAAAAATGTTTGTAGACCTTTTTAACTTTATGAAAGAGCAGTCATACTATTTCGAACCTTTTTGTGACAATGCTCTTGCACCCTTCCCAGTGACATCACATATATTACAGATGAGACCAATACAAGTATCATTTCACATTACAATGAAGTTTTCACGTAACGTACACCCCGGACCAGGATAAATTTCAGTTGTAAAGAGGGTTCTTCTGTATAGTTTTCTTTAAGGAAAGGTCATCGAGGTATGCGAAACGACGAAAATTCGAGGAAATTTTGCCTCTTATTACGGAAATCTGGCAATTTCTCAACGGAATGATCCAAATACTACACACATGGAATTTTACAATTTTTTGCGGATTTGTAGACTTCTTCAGCTGTTGTCTTGTAGAAACAAGTCTGGTCAAATCTTGGTTTTTATGGTTAGCAGCATGTACAAGCAATTGGATGGAACGCGCAGGGTCATCGAGATGGGGGCAGGGGGCAGGGGGCAGGGGGCAGGGGACAAATTGCCTTAGGTCTAGGGGCCTCATTAGTAATGTATTCCGTTTTATAATGGAATTAATTAATAGTAACAAAATTATACCTAAAAAGTAACATATTTTAAACGACTAAATGAATTTAAACTTCTCTGTCGTTTGCTTTTGCCCCAGGGCTTCCAAAAACCACTCAGCGGCCCTAGGGGAACGCAAAATTTTGGCTAAAACAGCGGATATCAACTTAAAATTGCACCGAACGGGAGATTTCTAACCCCTTGAATGCAGTGGCGAAGCTGGCGAAGCGAGCGGTCATGCTGGTCATGACTAAAAATTTTCAGAGCTAAAGATATTGATTATAATGATTAAAAATTTTCTTTATTGAACAAATACTTTCAAACTCCTTTCGTCAAGTTTATTCTTATTATTCTACTTGGTCCCTTGTTACGCAGAGAGACCAAACGTTCCTGTGAGTCGGCCGAGTTTCATTACCTTTTAGTTGGTATCCCTGCCATTATAATCATAAACATAGCACTGATTTGATTGGCTTCTATCTTGCGCATGCTATTTTGGCCCGTTATGGACCCCAAGCCATGCTCATTTTTTAGCATGACTGATCTAAATCTCCCATACATGAAGTGCCCAAGGAAGGCCAAATTTGATTTTTGAAATGCATACGGGGGCCGCAACTCAAAATACAGTATAATTTTAATATATACCAATTCTACCTAACTATTAATCTAATCAATAAAAATGTATTTATCGGAAAATGTACTGTAACTTGGAAGCAATTCGTAGATATAAACATAGAGGTAAAGTAGGTGTTCACTGGTCAGTATATTACAAGAAGCTAATGCGCAAATTGGTGCTGCATGTCCTTGGCCAACTTCTCAATATTTGGCAGAGTTGTTGATGTTGACAGCCGCAAGTTGCCTTCAAGGTGCTGATAGTCATTCGAGATCGCAGTCGACTCTTCGCATGCTTCATCTTTGAGAAGAGACTTTCGCAAAGGTAAGTACTGCCAAACATGCAACACATCTGTTTGGCATGCTGCACCAGACCTGGATATGAACCATCATCCACCATGGAGATTCTCCATATAAAACTGGATGATATGAGTTTCCTTGTATTTCTGTTTCAGTTCACTGGTACCCTGCAGCTCGATCAACTCAATTTGAAGATGGAGAGTGAACCAAATTCCATTGATTGAGCTGAGTTTTCCAAAGAAGTAGCATAAGCAGGAACGTGACAACATATGGCCCGCGGGCCGCGGGTTGCCGACCCCTGACCTAAGGTCTGCCTTGTGAGCTGTGAAACATTGCTACAGGGATCACTTGCGTGCGGCAAAACAAAGTTATTGTAAACCAAAATTGTAATTGAAAACCAAAGGCCGACCCTTATCGATGGAGAATTATATCATTACGTTGCTGATCATACCATAGCTTGTTGCTGATGGACAAACTTGTACCCTGCAACTTGCCTGTTTATTCAGTATTTCACAAAAAACCTCTTGCTGATAGAATTGTACTCTTCAAAAATTCCTGTTTTGTCAAAATCACACAATAACAATAACTTTTGTTACAACATAAAATTGTACCCCATAATTTGCCTGTTATTCAATATTACACCATAAATTGTTGCTGAAAAAGAAATTATATTCTGGAATTTGCCTGTTATTGGATATTAGACCATAATTTGCTGATGGATAGAATTTAAAAATGATTTTTAATCATACTATATATGTAGCTTCCACACAGCCAACCTTCTCAGTGCAGTTTGATTTCCCCAGGCTTTCTGTTGCCATGAAAACTATGGGGTTCCTCAAACATGGAAGACCAAAGTTATAGGAAAGCCCTTGATGTTGGCCTTGGACTTAACTTGTTGATGTTTTTGGCATGTTATAACTTCAATACAGGGATCAAAACTTTTTGTATATGCTAAACAGTACTATCCTTGATACATTTGTTTTAGATATGTAAAAATTCAGCTTATAAAGTTGAAGCTCAGTATGTGTAAAAGTCTGAACCAAAAAAACAAACATCTCACAATTACCTGCTTCATAAACAAGGAAGTGCCTACTTATCATTGGGGGCTTATCTTGCCTAGCTCATCTTAATTCAGAAACATCATCAAAAGTGTCAATAATTAATAGTAAGAGAATGGATATTTCTTAGCCACTGCTGACTTAAATAAGCTAATTTATCGAGTTAAGATATTTGTAGAAATATTTGTAGATATAATGTTTTCTCATCTGCAATGTTTTTCCAGTGTGATCAGTAGTGTTTGTTGGGGGTTTCCAAAAGCACAATTTTTCAAAAACATGGTCCCAAAGATATGTCAAAAAACACAAGATTGGAGAATGGGGTGGAAAGAACATTTAGATGTTGAAGTCATTCAGTGGCGGCGCCAAGGGGTGGTATGGAGGGGGGGGGGGTAATTACCTCCCCACTTTTCTGAAAATATGGTCTATATATTTCTTCTAAAAATGGATTAAAAAGCGCTGGGTAGGGGTAGATCAAATTTCCCAAGGAATGGGACGAATCACTGGAACGAGGTAAAGGGGCGTGGTCACACTGGCCACGCCCATTACCCTCCCACTCTGTAATAGCTTGAGCCGCCACTGAAGTCATTGACAGAATTGATTGCGATCTAAACAAGAGCTATTTGATTCAACATACTAAAAAGGGCGTTACCCCCTTTTCCAAATAGGGTGTGGTTGTGCGTAATTTTACGCCCCCAGACCCCCATCAGCATTCTGTTCCATACAAAGCATGACCAATGTCTTAAGGCCGGATTCGCCACTGCTTGTATGACCCCCACCTTTCGAATGTTTTGACTAATTGGTAAAAAAGGTTCTGTCTGTTTTTACAAGGTTACATGGTAGATTATCCTATCATTGCGAAAGCCAGGTCAAATGTTGGTTTTCTCATACGCCATAGTATCTGTCGTAAATTTGTCTACTCTCAACTTTCAATCTCAAATTAATGCAGACTATGTGATAAACAAATTTCGCATCGCGGGATTTTCCAGCACCAAATGGTCGGCCTAAGTAACAGAATAACAAACCTCCTGAACTTATCAACAAGACTTTTTCTGGGCGAAGCTAGCAAGCGATAAAGAGTAAAATTTGTGATAACCAGGGATTATATTGCAAAAAAGGAAGTTTTGCTCGTTTCTGTAACCGACGAAAGATTTTCCCTGAGCTGACCACCTCACTCATTGATATCGTCAAGAAAGGGCTTGACAAGCACCGACAAAAAGACACGAGGCCCGTGCTCCGTGCAAATTAGGGTACGCCCACTTTTGTAAAGAACAATACATAGTCTACCACAGACCCCAGACCCCAAATATCCAGGGAAAAGATCGCTATTGTGAATCGACAAAGAGTTCTAGTAAATAAACAATTATTCAATTGTTTTGATTCCTTTTCAGCTATTGTCTGGAATCTAATTTCAATAACAATACTTTCCATGAATAACCCGTACTCTTTGCTGGTATAGAACCATATGCAAACAAATGTCGGAAAATATGAAGGTCCTGCGAAATAACAATTTACTTGAAAGCATCTGAGGGTTGACGTTGTCTGGTTTGCTAAATTCCAGTTTTAATAAAGATAAATATACAAGATTTATTAACAAATTAGTTTATTTGAAAATTCTGCGTTGAAGAACAAATCGTTAACTAAGTCTTTACATAATATGACTTTTCCCCATTCCGCAAAATTTACTGGAGACAAATTAATTTGGCTTCAGGGGTCCACCATTTTCCAAGCTTCACTTCCAACAGGTGAATCTCTCCAGATATTAAACAAGTACGTTTCAAACAGCAGGCAGAAAAACAAGCTGTGGTTATTCTTGAAATGCAAGTAAAATGCGAATGACACTAACCTGAATGGTAACTGTAAAGTCACCGACAGTCTCCACCTGCAAAACAGACAAAATTGAAAATGAAAGTTCCAGGTAAACAAGAGTCAAATGAACAATGCTCACAAAAAGCACGGTGAACTCAAATATGCTTTAACACACCGTTTCGACAAGCGATAAGCCTGCATCCTCATGATCAAAAGATGAAACCTTATGCATCTTTAACAGCCACTTGCAAAGTACTTAGCTATGTGTATAAGGTAGTAAATCCCTGTTTCTTTAAACCAAGCTCCTCAGATTTCAATCAACCGCCTCCTTGCTAATCGCCAAGCTGCACGAAGTTTACTGTACTGTGCAATGTCACGTGATTAGTAACTGGTCATGTGTCATTCAAATTGATGAGAGGATAAACAAAAGGCTGAGCGGTCAGTAATCAGCTGATTTTCAAAATGAACTTGCATGAAATTTGCAAAGTGTTAAACCCTAGGTTGAGAGCTATGCAATGTAAATTGGACATGCGTGAAAAAAGAATAAAAGCTTAAGAAAGGAGACACGTGTGCGACATCTGTCATGGTTATCAATAAAGCTGAAGGAAATGAATAAAAACAAAACAGCAGGTTACTTCCTTGGGTAGTAGACTTCACGCTCTCTCTGAATTAAGATCTAAAAGATTCTCTGTGAAGGTGTAGGTAATTTTAACTATGTTTCGAATCTTTGTTTGAAAGGCGGGTATTATTAGCCAGTCGAGTTAGTGTAAGGAACTAAAATAGGTTATGATTCCGGAATCACGTCAAGTCAGTTACGTGATGTATATTTGAAGCAGCGTTTTCTACAATATTTTTGAAAACATATTTGAGATATCATACTGGCGTTCATGCTTCTCTTTTCAGCTTTTAATTTTTCTTAAGGAGATTTACTTTTTGGGGTTTTTCTGTTGTCAAACAATTCTAATTGTTTCTACTGTCATCAAATTATAACAAGAATTCATAATTGTTTTATTTCTTCAAAATGGAAGTAGAGAACACGATTGCAGTAACTGGAAAATTCAACTCTTGGTCCTAAATAGAACAATAACAACGCAACGCAATTCAAGAATGCGAGCACACGCATTTTTCATAAGGAACCCACCTCAAGGCCTAGTTCCAAAAGTTCCTTATTCGTAGGCCTCAAATCATCAAATTGTAGTACCAAAAGTTCCTTAATAGTTCCTTTTTCACTGCACATCAATTGCCATAAAAATAGTACAGAAACAAGCAAAAATATAAAAATTATGAATTTTGCCTTTACTTGTGGCTAGAACTTAGGAGCAAAAACACAAAGAAGGCTATGTATAGTGAAATTGTGAAAATCTCACTTTCGTTGTTTTGAATACAATAAGCCGTTACACTAAATAGAGAGAGGGGCGAGACAGCATATGCAGAAACTACTCAATGAAACACGAATAGAAAACAATCTATGCGAGCATTGGCTGCAAATGAATGGAACCGGCTTTTTTAGTTCTTGATGCATGCAGTTATACAAATTTTTCAAATTGAAATTTTCCTTAGGGATTTCGTTTTTAGTAGTATAAGTTCTTTGAATATTTCGGCCTTCTACATGTAGGCTTCTTATAAAGTGGTTCCTTATAAAAAAGCGTGTATGCTACCACATTATGAAATTGTTTGCGTGGACTTGCAGATAGCAAATACAGCTCTCTTCAAAAGGTTTGAAAGCCATTCCAGTTTTAGGTTGGGCAACGATTGGCATTTTCTCAACATTTTAATAAAACTTTTATTATGTCCGGGGGCTTATTTATTTTTTAATCCTAGAGGGGGGCTTAAGAGAGAGGGGGCTTGTTAGAGAGCGGGGGCTTACTAAAAATTTGAAGCAAACAAAGTTTTAAAAATACCCTTGGCCATGTTTTGTTATGAAAATGAAATACAAACTCAAAAAATGTTTCTTGTAGCTTTGAGAGTTTAACCAATCAATTATAAGGTCTTCATCTTCATCAACATCACCAGGATAAATTGATAACCAACCCTTGGACATTTTCAAAACAAATTTCGACTGACTACTAAATCGCGAAAGTTAGGCCGTATTTAATGCACACGATCTTACCATCATCCGCTAAATGTGCATGTTTTCTATGTTGACATCAAAGACTAAAGAGGGGGCTTTATAGAGAGGGGGGCTTATCTAAAGTTTTTGCTTGATAGGGGGCTTAATAGAGAGGGGATCAATAGAGCTTTTACGGAGTCGACTATAGGTCACCTGTTTGTATGAACGGCAGCAGAATCGTGGGGGCCAAAGGTTATGGGTCAATTATTCAGAACCGGCAAGGTTGACAACAAACTATTTCACCTGCAGATGGATCAAAGGGGATTCTCTAGCAGTTCGTGTATCTCGTTTTTTAAGCCAGATTGCAGAAGCTATTCGTAATGAGGGTGATACTATTGTTGTCGATAGCGATAGAAATAGGATCAGCCGTAAAGTACAAGGCACGGAAGTTTGTGGCAATTCGTGACCAGATTGCAATACTCTTTAGGCTTAACAAGGCAGCAGATGACAAATAGTTTAAAAAGGTAATCATAATACATAGAACCTGAGCTGAAGCTCTTATGACAAAGAAAGCTGTGTTGGGAGCAGGGACGCCACGAGCCCAGAATTAGCATTTGAGGCAAAAAAAGAGGATCTGGAAAAGATATCCCTTAATGCAGCCTAATTCTTGGAAAAAATATAAAATACCCTATTGAGCATTTTCATAAATCGGTAAAATCTGAACAATTTAAAGAAAGCTCTCTTAATGGTTTTCGATTGGTTATCAGGTTAGAATTGAAAGATGAATTCAGTAAATTTTTAATTAGTCTACAGATTGTACATTTTAATTACATTGGAAGACAGTGCCCTAACAATGACCCGCTGTTTTCCTATTATTATTTAAATATTGTTAATTCAAAAATTGTTTTAAAAGCCTTTGTTGCAGTTTACAAAATATAGTGCAACTGTTAACACAGTCCATTAATGACAAATGCTAGAAAGAAAAAACAAAAGATCAATTTATTATAAATACAACTAAAAGCTGTGCGATGGGGCAAAAACAGAGACAATTAGCTTTAAGGCTAGATGACGTGTTTGCGTTTTGAGAATAGCTTGTTTTTTGCAGCTCTCCATGCTATGGAGACAGGTTCAGAACCAAAGACACATGTTACATGTCTTTGACTGCTCCCTGCTCCCCCACGCCACCCCCTAGTCATCCCCAACCACCGTGCAGGTGTTTTTTTGACATTTATGGGGCTGGGGGGCTTTAGCTACTTTTTGCAAAAAATGCCAAATATTAAGCAATAAACTACCAGTAAAGCCTCTTTTCATGCGGTGTTAGCCCCTTTTATTTAGACCCCCCCCCCCCATTTTTCTCGATGCTCCGCTGTGTCTGTGAAAGCCGATCCTCTTTTGGACTATCGACAAAAATGTGTGTTGACAGACTTCTATACAAACTTGAATCTACGTATCTACAAACAGACAGATTAATTACAAACTTTTCTATGTTCAGTTTCTAAGTGCTGACGGCAATGATCATTAAAAAACCACCAATTGTAAGGGTGTAGATCTCACTGACACTGACAATCTTTTATGAAGAGAAAATTGATCTGTAAGCATTTTCTGAGCCAATCAATAAAATGTAAAGAAGCTTTTTGAATACCTTTGGGTTTTGGAGACATAGTGAAAGATCATTGATGATAATATAGAAGAGAAGTGGAACAAAACACGAGCCTTGTGAGACATAGTTATCAAGGTTTTGTAAATCAAGATGTGGAGCATATGCAGACTATTGGGACTTGAATATCCAGAGCATTATTATGTCATTCTTTTTAGCTTTCTAAGAGAACTTCAAACAACAAAACAAGTACTAAAAATAATATCTCGCGATTCACGATATTATCATCATAGTCGACATGGCCAAATCTACTTCAAAAAGTAGGTTTTTCATTGAGAACATTTGTTCAAACATGCCTACCCACTGTTGAAAAATTGAAAACGGCAACTTTTGGTATTCCTGCCCTGCCTAGTCTATAAACTGGCATCCCTGAACCAAGCCTGTGGAAGCCTTAAAATTCATAAGGAAGCATTTAAAACTATCAGCTGTAAGTTTTTAGAAGGACTTTTTCGTAGACACACATGAGCATTGTGTCGGGAATTAGGGCAAGTGACAAGCCTTCTTTAGTCAAGTACTGGCCTCTTCATTGAGTAGACTCTCTGGATAGATGATCTGATATGTTTTCCTACCAGCATCATTATTTGTTGTGCTTCACTTGAAGAGCAAACTTGAAATCCTATAGAATTTCTTGTAGAGCAGGGTGCTCCTGGGTTTTCGACAGAAATATTCGAACCTCAACATAAATCTGATATCATAAAGCTGCTTGCACAATCAGCTAACAAAATGTGACCCATGGTCCACACCTAGAATTCATTGCCGGCTTTTCTGAAACAATTTGGCTAATCTAGAACAGCTTTGCTCTTAATAGAAGGCTAAAAATAGAACAAAGTAGAAAGGGATAGAATTCGTTGGTAATGTGGATACCTTTGGTTGTTAATTACAAAATGTCTCAGTTCTGGGGTAAGGACCTCGATCGAAAGAAGATGTTAGCAGACTCTGAGAAAATGCCAAATCTCTAGCCCCAGACACCTCTTGTCAATGATCTAAGGATCAAGTTTTGGTCGTGGCAGCGTCTGATGACCAACTAGGCAATAGTCCCCCAATCTATAGTGTAGAAAGAACTGACGCAGGCCTCGTGCAGTCATATTCAACAATAGACAATCGCCGCAAACTTTTGTAGCCAGCTACCGTTCCATAATGAAGACATATCCAACATGATCTCCCTCTAAGTGCTAAAGTTCACCTCTTAGCTTTACCAGGTCCACTCCAAAACACAAAATTTTACTTATGCCTGTTAGTGAGTGTGAAGGGAAGGCCTGCATATTTTATGCGTCCTTTAGGCCTAGAGCATGGACTGTAAAAGGTAGTTTTGGCCTTTAGTGCATACGATTAGGGTTCTAGAGACAAAGGCTGTGGCCATGAAACA